AAAAACCAAAAAAAAAAAAAAAAAAAGGAAGAAGAATATATATGAGTGTCTGAGTGTGTGTGTGTGTGTGTTATAATGCAGTAGCAGCTACAGGTTACCCCTGCTAAGTTATGTACCCCTAGCTGTCCTAAAACTGGCTATGTAGACTAGGCTGGCCTTGAACTCATAAAGATGTACCTCTTGAGTGATGAAATTAAAGCCATTCGCGTCCCTCCTGGCCCCTCAGCTATGTGAGTTTGTCTTTTTGCCACCAGTAAGATGAACTCTAGATTGAACTCAGGAACCTACTCAGGAGTTGGTTTCAGTATTGAAACTGGAAGACAGGCCAGACACTAGGCACTGAAGTTAAAATAAGACAGTAGAAGACAATGGAAGATGTAACAGGAAGTAAAATAAGGAAGACACATGGGGCTAGAGTGATGGGTCAAGGGTAAGAACTGGATGCTTCTAGTCAGCAGGAAGTAGTCTGGAGAGTTCTACACCCCCTTCCCCTCTAACCTTCTTTCCTACCTAGTGTTGATGGGTTGGGATAGTGACCTTGGAGAGGACCTGGATTCAATTCTAGTACCCACATGGTAGCCTAAAACCTTAGGAAACTCCAGTCCCTGATCCAACACCCTCTTCTGGCCTCTGAAGGAGCATGTGATGTATAAACATACATGGGGGGGGGCATACACATTAAAAATAAAAAATAAAGATAAACTTTTTAAAAATGCAAGAGTCAAATAGTATGCATATACAGCCATACTTTTCAGTCTCCTTTATTAGGTTCTTATATCTACTACCCTTCTCCATCCTGGACCCTTCCAACCCCTCAACACTAGGTAGGAAAGAAAGAAGGTTAGAGGGGACAGGGTGTAGAACTCTATAGAGTACTTCCTTCTGATTAGGAACGTCCAGTTCTAGGGGCAAGTTCAATCTCCACTGGCAGAGTATCCCAGCCAGCAACCAGCAGTCTAGCAAGAGCAGCAGTAGGAATCAGACATTCTCAAAAATCCCCGTAATTCCAAACATAACTGTCTGCAGCTGGCAAAAATCCCGCCCCTCCTAGAGCATGAGACAAGCCATAGTTATCGGCTGTGGACATTCGGAAGCAGCTCCGTATCCCACACCTGATTAAAACACAGCCATCACCCAACTGGATTCTTTTTTTTTTTTTCCCCCCCCCCCGAGACAGGGTTTCTCTGTGTAGCCCTGGCTGTCCTGGAACTCACTCTGTAGACCAGGCTGGCCTCGAACTCAGAAATATCCACCTGCCTCTGCCTCCCAAGTGCTGGGATTAAAGGCGTGCGCCACCACCGCCCGGCTACCCAACTGGATTCTTAAAGAAACCAAGCTTATCACTGCACGCACAACATGCCGCCATTTATATTTTAAAAGTACCCGTCTATACGCTCATTTATACATAGAAATGCTTTAGAAGAATGAATAGACAAGAAAGCTAACTGGTTTTCTCTTCAGAGGAAAACTGGGAGTCTAGGAAGCAGAGCTGAAAAGACTGTAATACATTCTGCTTACTTTTTTTTAAAAGATGTATTTATTTATTATATATATGAATATACTGTCGCTGTCTTCAGACACACCAGAAGAGGGCATCAGATCTCATCACAGATGGTTGTGAGCCACCATGTGGTTGCTGGGATTTGAACTCAGGACCTCTGGAAGTGCAGTCAGTGCTCTTAACCACTGAGCCATCTCTCCAGCCCCTGCTTACTTTTTAAATCAATGTATAATTGATACACAGAAAAGGTGAAAATATAAATATACAGCCACATGCAGTTTTTTATAAACTGAATAGTCCTGAAGCCAACAGATCAAAAACTAGAACCTGGAGCTGGAGAGAATGACTCAGAGTGCTTGCTGCTCTCCCACAGACTTAGTTCTGAGCACCCACTTCAGGCAGTTCTCAACTAATGAAAACTCCAGCTCTGGGCTATCCAACACCCTCTTCTGGCCTCTTTGGGTACCCACACACACATATGGAGACAAAAACATAAATAAAAACAAATCTTATGCTGGGTAGTGATAGCCCACATCTTTGATCCCAGCACTAGGGAGGTAGAACAGCCTGGTGTGTCAGTGTTTGTTTGTTTGTTTTTTGGTTTGAGACAGGGTTTTTCTGTATAGTCCAGGTTGTCATGGAACTCTATAGACCAGGCTGGCCTAGAACTCAGAGGTCTTCCTGCCTCTGCCTCCTGAGTGCTGGAGTTGAAATCTCTTTGTTGTATTGTTTTTGTTTTGGACAGCCCCTCTCTGTAGCCCTGGCTGACCTAGAACTCCCTAGGAAGACTAGGGTGGCACCAACAAACCTGAAGTCATCTTTCTGCTTCTGTCTCCTCAGTGCTTGGGATTAGAAGTATCTGCCAACCTGTCCAGCTTGTATTGGTTCTGATTTTTTGAGATAGGGTGTCATATAGGCCAGACTGGCCTTGGATTTACTTTATAGCCACAGATGCAAAACTATCTTTAAATCCTAGTTGCCTAAATGCTAGGATTACAGACACACTCCATGGCATCCAGCATTCTAAGGGCCTTCCATCCATCCGTCCACTGTAATGTAAGCCAATTTCAGAGGATCCTTTGTAGTACCAGACAGTGCACAGATCTATAAAACAGAGTCTGCCTGACATTTAGCATGTAGCAGCGAATACAAGAGGCAAGTTTTCAGTGGATCAACTAGTTGCCCCGCTAGTAATCTTTTTCAATAACATTGCATAAACCAAAGAAGGAGAAAGAAATGGCAGTGCCTGTATGCTACAAACCACTGGACACAGACAGATAGACTGTTAACACCTACTATTACGTTGAGACTTCTGCCCAGCGATCCTAGGGCACCTGCAGTCAGTGATGCAGCCACCCACAAAATTCCCGTTGAGATGAAACCTGAACCCAGGCTTTATAACTTGGGCTATAAATGTGGTAAGGAAGAATAATAAAAGGTGCAGTTTAACTGAATAAAAAAAAAAAAAAGCTTGGGTCTATTTCAAAGGTGCAAATGTGTGAGGACACACAGATGAATAAAGGAAGTTTGCTAGAATTGTTGCTAATCATGGTAAGCTCAATACAATGTTTGGAAATGAACGAGACACAAAAACTTAACTGCAAAGTGCCTAGTTGGCTAGCTTTGCTCTTCGAGGAAAATCTTAGAAGAACCAGAATCCAAATGCCCATCATCTAGCTTGGGTTTGTTTTCTTTTGGGAAGGCCTCACTCTTTAGCCCAGGCTGGCTGGAATTCAGGGCATTTCCTCTGCCTTCGCTACCTAAGCACTAGGGTTGCAGTATAGGTTGCTACATTCTACTAGGTTTGTCTTGAACTATAGTCTTTTCCTGTTTGGTCTGGTTTTTTGTTTTGTTGTTGTTGTCCTTGTGAGATGGGTCGTCCTGTAGTTCAGAACTCCCCATTTAGCTGAGGATAACCTTGAACTCCTGATCTACCCTCTGTGTCTCCAGTGCTGGGATTATATGTGTTTATGTGTGTGTGACCACATGCAGTTAACCACCATCTTTTTTTGTTTGATGTTAGATTTTTTAAATTACATGTATTTATTTAAGATGTGTATGTCACATGTGCCTGTGCATACCATGCACGTGAAAGGACAATTTCAAGAGCCAGTTCTTTTAGTTGACACGTGGGTGCTAGGGATGGAATTCAGGTTGTTGGGTTTGATAGCAGCCACATATCTTACTGGCCCCAAACTACCATCTATTTTGAGACAGGGTCTCACTGTGTAGAGCTCTAATTGGTCTAAAAACTATGCATACCAGGCTGGGTCTTGAACTCACAAAGATCCACCTCCCTGTGACTCCAAGGTGCTGGGATCAAAAGTGTATGTCACCAACCCTGGCCCAACTACAGTCTTGAGCTAACAAAGTCATGCATGGTATGGCTATCCTGCTTAGACAGATCTCAGACTACAGAATGGATTGAAGAGCAAAAAACTGGGAGCAACATGACTATCAGTAACTTAGTAATAAACCGTACTGCACATATACTGGAATAAATTGACGTTGTATTCTTACCATATTTCCCATAGACACTGTCCTAAATTATTTTCAGCTGGTCTGATAGCATAGGGCTTTGATCCCAGCATTCAGGAGGCAGAGGCAGGCAAATCTTTGTGAATTCAAGGCTACTCTGGTCTACATAGTGAATTGTAGGCCAGCCAGGGCTTGGAAAAAAAAAAAAAAACCCTGACAGATTAAATAATTTTTATTTATCTAATCTCACCATAATTACTATAAGAAGGGTAAAATCATAAATTTCATTTTACAAAAAATATTTGTTTCTGTGTGTGTATGTATACACATATATGGCAACACACATATACATACATATATAGGAAACCTATATTACCAATATAGACACATCCATCTAAAACATAAAGTGGAGACAGACTAAGGAAAATACCCACCATTGACCTCCGACCTCCAGATGTATACTTATGCATGCACACGTGCACTTACACACGCAAAAGTCACCAGTGCCAAACATGCTGGCACACATCTGTAGACGAAATACAGGATAAACTCAAGTTTGAGTCTCATCCTCCCACCAAAAAAGGAAAAAGAGGAAGGGGAAGCCATGAATGTACTGCAGTTGGCAGAGTGCTTGTCTCGCAAGCAGTAGCCCAGAGGTAGGTCCTGACTCCCAGCACTGCTTGAAACCTTGTAGCAGACTTCAGAAGTAGACAAAGAAGTAACAAAAAATTCAATGCTGAGCCTGGCATAGCAGAGACAAGCATGAAGTCCAGGCGGACTATGAGTTCCTAATTTTCCTGTTTCTTCTTTCTAAATGCTGGGATGACAAATATGCATTCCACCATAGGCCAAGGTGTGTGCGTGCGTGTTCTCTCTCTCTCTCTCTCTCTCTCTCTCTCTCTCTCTCTCACACACACACACACACACACACACACACACACACACTTATATTTTTATTAATTTAGGAATTTCACACCATGATCCCCGAGCACTCTCACTTCCCAGTCCTCCCAAGTCTGCGCCCCATCATTGGGAGCTCCCCCCCCCCAAAAAAAGTCCAATTTGTGTTGCCCATATACTCACTGGAACATGGTCCATTACCCAGTGGCCAGCCCCTTAAGGACAACTGAGTCCTTCCCCACCTACAACCCCCACGAGAAGCCATCAGTTGCTGAGAGCTATACTTCAGCATCCTTATCATAAGTGCCCCTCTGCCACTGCACAGACCGTAGATACTATCACAGTCCTTGGCAGCAGCACAGACCAAGGACATCGACATGGCCTCAGGCAGCAGCACAGACTGTATGGCCTTCAGATGTTACCATGGACCAGCCATCAACACAGACCTCGGCTGCAGCAGGACCACGGACCCAGACACAACCCACGGTGGCAGCGCAGACTCAGACATCACCATGGCCTCGGGTCACAGTGTAGGCCACTTATATCAATATCACAAGGTTCTCCTTTTAATCAAATTCGCAAGACTAAATTTATAGTACTTGTTCTTAAATTCAAGGCATTGCTTAGGCTGAAAAGCAAGTTCGAGGCCAGCCTGAAGAAACCAAATGTCTAATGTTTCTACATATTCCTTAACATAAGAAACACTGCTATATTCATATTGCAAGTCTGGGCTTAATACTAGAAAGACCCCTTCTATAGGCAGATGCCTGTATCTGTAGCTAGTGGGCTCTCTCACTGGGTGAGAGTAAAAGCAGGTTCTCCCTGATCAAAGCAGCTTATGTTCCAAAGAGCAGATACTTGAGGGAGTCCCCTGGATGTACTGGTCTGTGGAACCAGGCTCTGCTTAACCACTACTCTCCAGATTTCTCTTCAGAGCTAATTAACTCAAAAGGACCATGGCATGTCACAAGCCCTGCCCTGGATCCTTCTGAAGGTCTTTTCACAGGACACTATTTCCGTTGAAGGGAATGATGATGCGAGTTTGTCCAATAAGAACAGTCCTAGTATTGGACACAAGCCAAAAAGAAAACTTATTCTAAGTACTGCCATTTTGTTTATCAGACTCCATTTAATCATAGGGAGAAGCCAAGTTCAAGGTCCCAGGGCCTAGGGGAGCTGAGGACTTCCCTATAGCGGGACAGCTTCTGTTGTAAACAGTTTTCTGAGTGCAGACAACATGTAAAGAGACAGCTGTCTGAATGCAGCCACCTCAAGGACAAGTTCATGTTCCCAGGCCCAGGAAGGAACACATATCCCATTTCTCCAAATGTTTTTTTGTTTGTTTGTTTGTTTGTTTGTTTTTGGTTTCTTTGGTTTTGGTTTTTCGAGACAGGGTTTCTCTGTGTAGCCCTGGCTGTCCTGGAACTCACTCTGTAGACCAGGCTAGCTTCAAACTCTCGAACTCAGAAATCCGCCTGCCTCTGCCTTCCAAGTGCTGGGATTAAAGGCGTGTGCCACTACTGCCTCCAAATGTTCTTTTTTTTTTATTAAAGATTTATTTATTTATTTTATGTATGCGAGCTCTATCTACATAAACACCCGGATACCAGAAGAGGGCATCAGATCCCATTACAGATGGTTGTGAGTCACCATGTGGTTGCTGGGAATTGGATTGAACTCAGGTCCTCTGGAAGAGCAGTCAGTGCTCTTTAACAGCTCAGCCATCTCTCCGGCCCTCCAAATGTTTTCTTTTCTTTTTTTTTCTTTTGTGTGTGTGTGTGTGTGGTGGGGTTTTTTTGTTGTTGTTGTTTTGTTTGTTTTTTTTTTTTTTTTTGGTTTTTCAAGACAGGGTTTCTCTGAATAGCCCAGGCTGTCCTGGAACTCATTTCTGTAGACCAGGCTGGCCTCGAACTCAGAAATCTGTCTGCCTCTGCCTCCCAGGTGCTGGGATTAAAGGCGTGTGCCACCACTGCCCGGCCAAATGTTTTCTTAATTGTCTGTTAACCAGTAAAGAATATAGAAATTGCTGTTATCTAAACCAAGGTGTGTAAGTTGTAAAAATGTATGAGCAGTTTCCTGTTGTGCCCTAATTATGTGCAGGTGACCTGCTCCTCTGTCTCCTTATCTCTCTGAGCTCTGGACCTAATGTTTAGGAGAATGAATTAAGGACCTTGAAGCCAGGTACCCTAGATATGCCCCAGTCTCCAACTGGTACTCCCTTGTCTAACCCATAATGTTAAAATACAATTGGATAACACTGCAGCCCCTCCCCCTCATGCTTTGTGTCCCCATCCTTTCAAAATGTTCACTTTCCCTTCAGGGGACACGATTGATTCAGAGCCTGGACTGGGCGCCTCCCTGAGCGCTAAGAAAAGCAAGCTTTCATTCTGAAGCTTCCCTGGCTGAAGTGAGTTTTCTCGCTTCCACACTGAGCCCAACGCTAGGAACGTGGACATCAGAGTGTGGGCCGCAAGGACACTGAGGCCGCAGGCTCTGAAACACTTTCTGAACAGAGAGGAAACTAACTGGTTAATTTTTCATCTTCTACTTTCATAGCTGATGAAGAGCTGAGATTCATAGATCTTGCCCCAGGGCGCTTCCTTCATTGCTTTTCACTAAGACAAAATGTCACTCTGCCTTCCAGGGCCCTCTCTCTGACTCTTCACTCCTTCATTACACCACAGCCACGTTGAAGCTACTTGATTCCAGACAAGTCCCGCCCTGCTCTAAGAGAGTGCTGCTACATGTCATGACACTTTGAGGACACTTTCTTCCTGGTTTGCAAAGCATACTAGGTCCCTCCCCAGGGCATCAGCCCAGCTATAGCCTCTTCTGTGAAATCTGCTTTTCTTTTGTCCTTAAACTTTGGGCACTTTTCTGCATTGAAGCAATCACTTCACCATGCTCTGCACGGTGTGGGGTTTATTTTCTCACTGGATGGCACACCCCTCAAGGATGTGTCTACCTCTATGGCCTACATCTCAGAGGCCTAGCACAACGTTTATCTCCTGATAGGGGCGCTAACATTTCTTCGTAAAGGAAAGTCAATGAACCCTATTAGCATTTTATCTCTGGAGAGGTCTAAACAGTAGAAAAAAATCACACTTGTTTTCTCAGAAGAAGGAACACATTCAAATACCAAGAACTGCAGTTCCTGGTAAGACCTTTCAGAAAACGGTATTACCAATAGCAGCAACTGGAAACCCAGCAGAATGTCTGAGTGCTAAAGGGGGTGAAATGGGCCAGGATCTGAACAGTCATACTGCAGGCAGTCTAGGGAGTTGGGGAAAGTAGAGGAAACTTATAAGCCCAAATAACCACAAGCACCCTTTTTCTTAAGAATCACATATATTTACACTGTGGACTTAAAATACTAGAATACACTTAACACAGCAAGAGATATTCATATCTACCTGGAGTCGAACTCCATCCAAAAGAAACCCACCCCCAACAGTCTGAGCCAGCATTCTAGACAGGGGCAAGCTGGTTTTGGCAGCATGGGTTTAGAAAGTATGTACTGAAATAAGGTCACCTATGGCTATCATCACTGTCCTCTGCCCCAGTCTTTTGTGGGTTGTCCAGTTTAGTTGTCCATGAGGCTCTCGGAGCTCTGGGGAGGACTCCTTAACTTGGGAGTAGACAGGTGCTCCAGCTCATAATGGCCATTCTCAGAAGCCTTGTGTGTGAGTTTCTCCTTTGTGTCCTCCTGGCTCCTCTTGTGCTCAATAATCTGTTGGAGCTGGTGCCCAGCATATTCTGGCTTGGTGGTCAGCGGACCAGCTGGAACAGCTACACCTAGAATATCCGACACCATGTAGGGGCGCAGCCAGCCCACCAAAGGCGTACTCCCAGGGCTATAGTGGGTCTGTTTATGGTAGAAGAGCAGTCCGTCTACCTATAGGAGAGAAATCAGGAATCATAATGACATTGGGCCACAGATTTCTAAGACAGATATACAGAGGCAACTCTTATGG